TTATTGAATGGTATTGATCCTAATTTCTCTAATTAATAAACCAACCTTTTACCTTATAACTTTAATTAGTTAAACTCATAACATAAAATCCAATATATCATTATTGCTCTCCTATATAAATATATACATTGATTGTAGTGATTTACATTGATAATTATATTGATGCTAACAAAACTTTAGGATTGTTAACATAAATTGTTATCCTTCAGATATCTAAAACATTGCTATATGCGTTAAAGTTTACTTTTCAGTCGGTAGACTTTGCAATCAACTTGTATAATAATACAAATAAATATAAAAAGTAGCTGATATGACTAGTAAAATTAAAATTCAGTAATCATATAATTAATGAAGATCACAATTATTATTTTTTAAAATCAAAAGAATTTTTCTGAGTATCTATTATTAATGCCTTATAATTATCGTAAAGTGTTCTGATTTTAATAATGCATGAATTTAACAATTACTATTTATGATCAAAAATATAAAACAAATAGATTTTTATAGGAAAACTGATTTTTTTTAATTAAATAAAGTGTTCCTGTTTTTTATTATAATTTATTGCAATTATTATTTTAAAATAGTACTATTAAAATCTGAATGTAATATAGAAATTAATTTACAGGGAAGAGGGTACATTTATAATAATTACTTTGAGAGGGAAGTAATCAGAAAAAAATAATTCATATTAATATATTTACCATTTTTAAATTACTTACAGTATATCCTTTAATCATTTATTGGTTATCATTATTTATGAAGAAAGTATTTAAGATATTATAATTTATAATTAAAAACATGACAACTGAAATGGATCATCATTTACTAGATCAGTATTGTTTATACTCTGTCATATATTTAACTATACAATATACAAAAGTTTTTAAAGATTTATAATATTCAATATATTAAATGTAAATCGATCGTAAAATCTACTAAAGAATAGAAATGTCTTGATAGTTTAATTGAAAATAACAAAAAGTAAAAACTGATTTATACAATAATAATGACAGATATAATATATTATTTTATTATTATTATGCTTCAAAAAAAATGCAATTTTAGAAAAAATCGAAACTTTTAAAATAATGATAATTAAAATTATTATGATCATGTGTGTGGTTTCTTTTATAAACAATTTTTTTTAATGAGATCTGGCCAATTAAATATATATTTATAAGTATCTCAATTCCTTCTATATTAATCAAGTTTTTAATAAAAAAATCACGTTAAATCTTCAAATGATATTATCTAATAAAAATAGTGCAGATATAGGTAGCATATTAATTTTTAATTTTCTGTGTATTGTAAAAAATAATTATTGTAGACTAAATTTGTTATCTGATACTTATAAATATAAAAGAAAAAAGTAAGTTCATACTTTCAGTTTTTTTATGAAAGGAAATATTTTAATAGATAACATGTCTGAAAAATGCATTGCCAATGATGGATAGCAATTAATCAATTTGACTTTAAACTTCTACAAAGACTTATTTTTATATGATTTAAGTATATATAGATTTTAAAAATTATAGGTATATGTTATTTTAATGAAGAGATATTAAACGTAAATAAAAAAATTACTAACTTATTATTTAATTATCTATCAGAGTTCTGTAGCATAATTTGAGTCCTTAAGTTCATTCTCATTAATTGTTTCTTCAATTATTTCTTATCAGTAAATCCATTATTAATAATTTCTTCATCATTCAATTTTTATTATTATTCACTTGAGGTTTAGTTGATGGTACAATTGATGAATCAATTTTCTTATGAAAATTCTTTTTCTGTAATTGTTAAATTCATACACTATTAAAATCTGAATATAACACATAAATTATTACAGATGAGGATATTCTAAAGAACACTTTACAATATTTTTAGTATATAAAACTTAACAGTTGTTTATCATATAAAATTAATTAATAAAGAATTTTGCTTCATATATTAACAAATAATTTAGTTATAAAAGTAACATGAAAAAGCACTTTCTTTATTATTCAACTTCCTTTTAACAAATATTTCTTTTTCATTCAATCTAAAAGATCTTACATTCATAAATAAAATTAAAATTAATTATGAAAATTCAAAACTTCATATGTTATAACATATTGTATATCATTTTTTTATTTTATTTTATTTATTTATTTATTTATTTTTTTAGATTAATAAAAAGAAAACAAACACTTTATACCTACTTCTACCTTTCTTTGCAAAGGATAGAAATTGGAATTGGTTCCCATTATTAAAATTGATTATAGAATTAATTAATTGCAATTAATCATTTTACAAGATTCGATTTTAGAATTTGATTTTTAATTTTTGATACCCAGAACTAATTGAATTTATGTGTCATAAAAAAAATAACATTAAGGCACAGATAATTTTGTTAGTTACAATTTTAATATGAAAAACTGATTTTTAACTTTTGTTATTACTGCATTTTTACAAAATTTATAATAAATAATTTATTTAATAATAGAAATTTAAGTATATTTATTTAATACCATTATGAATATTTATAAAAGAAAAATAAAAAAAATTTGGTAATTAGTTATTAATCTCAGCTTTTCTATATATGTTTATATATTTTTTATTTCTTTTTAAAAATATGAGCTGGTTAACAAGATATAAATCCAAACAAATTCTTTGTGATGTGATTAAATTTTTAATATCAGAAAAAAGCTTTTTCTGATAGAACTGATATAGCAGAAATATGAAGATATTTTATTGCTAATTTGTGTAATACTGGATATTAACTTTTATTGTTTAACCACCATAAAACTGGATCATATTTTTCAAGAGTAGGTAATTCTAATATATTTAAATAATGTTAGAATTCATCTTTTATTAATGCAACAGTTTTGTTATTTTTTTTTTTCAAAAACTTCCCATTGCTATTGTTAAATCATCTATATTCTTATCAAATATTATAGAACTATCATTTTGTTTAAAAATTTTAAACTCTTTTTTAATTGATTAATAATACTATTTTTTTTTCATGAGAATCAATAAAATCTAAGCTTTTAAAACAAGGATCAAAAAATAATTCTTTGAAATATAAATCTTGAGAAAAATTCTATCTTGATATTAAATCTTGTAAAATTGCATCACTGCAATATTTTGCTCTACTAGTTTTCAATAAAGTAAAATTACTTTTAAGCCTATCCTTTAAATTACATATAGTTTAATATATAAAATCAATTGTTAGATACTTTATACCACTTAAAAAATGCATTGCAATTTTAAAAGGAGTTAAAAGCTCTATTACTTCTTTAATTATTTTTCACTCATTAACTGTAGAATAAAGTTCTTCTAATTTTTTATCCTCTTTACAAATATATAAACTTGTATCACTTATTAAAGATGCCTTTAGCATTGAAATTGCTAATTTAAGAACAATAAGTCTTTGAAAAATATAAAGGGTTGAATTTCATTTTGTATTATTTGCTTTTATAACATTAAGACAAATATGACTTTTAACTTCTTTTTCTAATTCTTCAGTTTCTTGTAATATTTCTTGTTGGCAATATAAATAAATTTATGATTCTTTTAATTGCTGTTTTTTTATTCCTGATAAAAAAGTAATAATAAGATGTTTACACTTATCAGCTAATAATTCTATTTTATTTAATCCTTTTTTAATGTTCAACTAAAGAGTATAGGCAGTACATGAGATTCTTTCACCAATTCCTAATTTATTACATACTTTTTTTATATTTGAACTATTATTAGTTACTATAGCACTTATTTTTGATTTAATCTCCTATTTATTAAACAAATCTAACAAATGCTCTTTAATTTCAGTTGAACCATATAGATATGATAATTTCACCATACTAAGAAGTATTTCATATAGTTTAAATTTAGATGTTATTTAATGAGCAATAATATCTAAATAAGGTAAATATACTGGTAAACTCTAGGTATCTAATGTCAATGAAATATGTTGTATATATAAAAATTGATTTATAAGTGTATCTTTTTCAACTTCACATATTTTTGAGATTCGATTTTTAAGTGTTTTAGTATAAGAAATTTTATAATATTTATTAAACCCATTTATCATATTAATGAAATCTAGATTTTCTACAATACTTAAAGGTTATACTGTTTCAATAACAAATACTATAACATTTTTAATTAAAGATTTTTGTTTAAAAGGGTGATGCAATTTAATTGAAGAAGTAAGATTTTTTAATTCTTCTTCATTATGTTTTATAGCAATATCTTTAGTAATATAATGTGTATCTGACAAATGTATTAATAATAAGCTTGAAAAACTGCATCATAAAAGCATTTTTCTATAGCCTTTAATTTAATAAATAGCTTTTATGTTATCTTTATTAAGCTTAAAGAATCTTCATACCCAACTTGTTTTAGATAATTTTAGTTAAGAGTTTTCTTTTTGACTTATTATTAATTTCTAGAAAATCTGCTTTAAGATTATCTATAATTATATCAGAAATATTAGATATTGTAATATCCTATAATATTATATGATTGCTATTTTTAGCTTTACTATTAAAATTATTTTTACTTCCTTCTATAAATGTTAATTGACTTGTTTTAGCTTCATAATCTGAATCACTTTCACTTTCTGTTAATTCTTTTTGTGTTAAATTTGCTTTTCTTGCTATTTCTGCTTCTTCAAGTATTCATTTATGTTTATTTCACATAATAGTAGCCATTTTTTTAATCAAATAAACAAATAAAAAAGTTTTAAAAATGTAAGAATTTCTTTATGCAAATAAGAGATTAATTTTTATTTTAATAATATTATTACTAATATATATAGCAGAATAAACAAATTTAAAAAGAAAGAAATAAGGATAAATGTGTAATAAGAGAATAAATGAGCCTTTTTCATGTTCTGCTAAAATATTTTTTATTTAAAAATAAATAATTCGTAAGATCATTTAAAATTTAGCATTAGTCTATTTTTGATTTGAATAAATAAATCATTTATTTGTATAATAAATTTCAGAATTTCAGTTAGTGTGATTAATTAGTATTTGAAATTAATATTAATGATTATTAAAACTCAATTTAGCTATCAGAATCACATGTAAATTTAAAAATAATTTGAACAATCATCTACCCAATTCTAATACAATTTTAGTTAATTAAATACTAAACAAATTAGTTTCAGTTAGTATCAATTGATTATTTTTTTACAATACAAATTCTAATTAAAATTTTACGTTAGTATATTTCTGAAGTTATTAAATTTTTTTTTTATCAAAATTGTTAAAGATATACAATAAAAAATTTATTTTAGTTCTGGGTTTATTACTAAATTCAAATTCAGCTGATTATCAAAATTTTTTGAATTTTTTTTCTTTAATATATTGTAAAAAATACCCTTATACAGACCTTTACCAAAAGTCTCTGAACATTTTTTGGCTCAATATAAAACTTGAAATTTTTAAATTTTATTAAAAAATATTTATTAAAATATTTATTAAAATATAATATGCTACACATTTAGTAATAAATAATTAGTACTTGATCAGACCTCAATTTGCTTTAATCACAGTCTGAATTTGCTGTAGTATATTATTAACCAAATTTTCAATATTTTGTATCAGAATTTATTTTCATGCTTTTATAACATGTTAATCGAGTTGAGCAAGGTTGGAAGGCAACTTTTTCCTTTTACAGATACTCTTTTTGACTTCAGCCTATAGATTCTCAATAGATAGCTATGACAATAATTAGATAATAATCACCATATTGATAGTAAAAAATTATGCCACCACGTTGTTCTATTGTTAATTTTTTAGACATTTTCGTTGTTTTAAAAAGATAAAATTTTATTTTGATTTAAAATCAAAATAAACAAATCAAACATGTATTTATTTGGTTTGATTTAAGTAAACAATAGTTGGAACATTATATAGCTACAATTTTCTACAGTCACATGATGTAATTAGTATGAAAATTCTGAAAGATAGCATCTGGAGACTTTTGATGGGGGTCTGTACTTAGCACATAAATACTAATCAAATTAGTAAATCTCTCCTTTTTAGGATAGCAGATAGCACAATTAGCATAATATAGTGTACTCTATAATTTATGCAAATTAGTGTGAATGATCAGCAAAAAATTATTTTTAATAAATAAATGTCAATTAATGCTACTGTACTATAATAAATAGATTTGATTTTTTTATTTAATAATCAATTAAATTGATTCTAATTCAATTTTTGTAGAATTGATTTCAATCTCTAGCGAGAAATTGATTTCCTAGACCTTACAGTAGCAATCATAAGTATCTGACCGCCTAAGATCGTCTAAAATTATTATATAACTACCCCTTAAATTTTCTAGAAATATAATGTAATACAATACATGATCAC